GGAGGAGCTCGGAGTAGAGCCGCTGCTCCTCCACGTGGAGAGGAGCGTCTGAGGGGAGGAGCTCGGAGTAGAGCCGCTGCTCCTCCTCGTGGAGAGGAGCGTCTGAGGGGAGGAGCTCGGAGTAGAGCCGCTGCTCCTCCACGTGGAGAGGAGCGTCTGAGGGGAGGAGCTCGGAGTAGAGCGCCGCTGCTCCTCCACGTGGAGAGGAGCGTCTGAGGGGAGGAGCTCGGAGTAGAGCCGCTGCTCCTCCACGTGGAGAGGAGCGTCTGAGGGGAGGACGTCTGTTCTGACGTCTCCTGGACGTGTCCCTCAGGAGGTGTTCATGTCCCACCAGGAGGAGGAGACCCAGGACACACTGGAGGGACCATGTCTCTGGACTGGACTGGGAACACCTCAGGTCCCACTGGAGGAGCTGGAGGAAGTGTCTGGGGTGAAGGAAGTCTGGGAGTCTCTGTTCAGGCTGATGTCCCCGAGACCCGACCCCAGATAAGTGGAAGAAAATGGATGAATGGATTTATTTGGCCCTAGTGACAACATGGCTAAAATAAATCAATAAATAGTGCGTAATATCCACTCTTGAATCTCTGTTGTTTAAATCTGAGCTGGGGACAGGTTCAAATTCTGTGGTAGAATTTGGTTTTTAACTTTGAGACTCCAGATGTTTAGCTCTGGTTTATGTTCAATGTTTCTATAATTACTGGACCGATCCAAATAAAATAATTCAGTAAGTGTTTTAAAACCAAAAGTATGTACATGAATAAATAAATGAATAAATAATCAAATACAGACAGACAGACGTACATAAAAGTGTAAATGTCTTTATTTACTGTGATTTACTTGCAAATATTAAGATAAAAAAAAAAAAAAGATAAATGATTAAAATATTTGTCACATTGTTTCTAACTAATTAACTAATCATCAAATCCATATAGCATATGGATTTGATGATTATTGGACACTTGTCAAACAAACAATCCCAAAAAAAAAGAATGAAAAAACTTTGTGATTTACAAAGTAGGAAAAAAAAAGTAGGAAAAAACTGAGGCACTCAAAAAGTACAAAATAATTCAAAGCCTTTAACAGCACATGGCCGACATGTGCCTATTTACAGGACAAAGAAAAGCAGTAGTAAAGCTCTATTCAAATACTCGGATACACAGGCTTCAGTTCTCTCGCTGTAGAAATGCACAGGCTCTTATCATGAAGATTCTTCCAACAGTCGGTTACTGCATCAAACAGATACAAACAAATGAAATGTGGAAAAACACAACTGAGATGTTATTTGTGTTTTCAAAGTTCGATTCATATCTATGGTACCCATAAGTTATCAGTGCAGAGGTTATGTTAAAACAGTGCACAACTAAATTAATCTTCAGAATTAATGAAATATATTTAAAACACAGACTGCAAAAGGTTCAAGATTCAATCAAAACATTTCTTTAAAAGGCACATTAGGAGAAACTCAGCCGCTCTATAAATAAATGCGACACATTGAAGCAAAATCAGCAGAAACCGTTCAATGCGGAGTCCCCAAAATTCACAGTTAAGATGTGGATTTAAAAATGTTGTATAGCATTAATGATATGGACAAACACACAGCTTGTTCATGTGAAGAGTGGACTTTACTGCACTGCAAAAAACAAAAAAAATAATACAAAACACAACAAACCCGACTGGTGCCAGACTGAGCCATGTGTGTTTTTCAGCGTGGAGTTGGAGTGGAGTTTAACCCCCAACCTTAAAGTGCATGTGACAGGTTAAACTACTTATTTCACTCTATTTTTTACTAAAAGAAAAACTATATTACTATGTCTATAGTTTTTTGTCATTTTGTTATCTTGGTGAAGTTTATAACATTATTTCCAGGTCGGACATGGGCATCAGATATAACAAAACTTGTCTAAATTACACAACAGCTGTGATTTAATAAATCAAAAATAAATGCTAAACACATTATTTTTTAATGTATTTTTTATTACTTTTTATTATTTGGTTAAATCAATGTGTAAACTGTCAGAAAAATGCCTTTCTTGTGTGTAGTTGCCATGTTGTTTGGTTGCTCTTGTGGCTGACTGGCTGGCACACTGAGCAGTTTTTAAATGTTTGACTTATATTTTGGGTGTAATATTTTGGGATTTTGACCAACTATGAAGTGCAGCTTGCGCATTTGAAAGGATGGAAGTTAAAGACTATTGGACTGTGTGATTTGAGTTTGTTTCTTCTTGTATCCATGGCAACCCTGCATGGAGCTAGCTCTGCCAACCAGTTAGTAGCTCTGAAATGCTCCAAACCCTTTACAACAATGCAACAGGCTTTTTATGCCAAATATGGCAGACAACAGAGTGGAGAGAGGCTTTCCTGTTGTGTCTCTAGACTTCACCTGGCTCCCCCTGGAGGCTGCTGTGATGCTGCAGGACACAGAGGACACTTTTGTCCTACGGGCGGTTACTCTCCTCACCCTGGATCTGATGTCACTACCTGTTGAGCTGCACTGAGACCTTTGTTTGATCTTTACTACTATGTTTGTATTTCTCTGCTCTATGTGACTAAACTGACCCTGAGGAACAGAGAAACTTTGATTTTGATTGAATAAATAATAAACTGCCTCTGCATTTTGAATGGAAATGATCTTCACAAATTGCCATTTAACTGATGTAAAACTATGATAAAAATTGAGCACAGAACAGGTGCTCTCCACCAAACCAGGTCAGAATGAACAAATACATGAATCTGTCAAATGCACTTTAACTTTATCCAACTTAACCATGTATCTATTGGAAATGAATAAACTGTTACCAATATTTTGCTTTGAGTTTTTTAACAAAATATGACAGAATGTATTTTTAAACTCCATACACCTTCACTAGAATCATTTGGATGATTTCAGGTCAATCTCTCCTAAACAAAGGGTAAAAGGAGCTGTTCACGTGAAAACTACCACTGCACAAGGTAGAATACAGCATTTTGAGCTTTGGAGATGTAGACATAATAACTAAATAGAGCTGCAAGCGGCAATGATCGGCCCTCGCTTGTGCTTGCGCCGTGCCCCGCAAACGCCGCGCCCCGCAAACGCCGCGCCCCGCAAACGCCGCGCCCCGCAAACGCCCGCGCCCCGCAAACGCCGCGCCCCGCAAACGCCGCGCCCCGCAAACGCCGCGCCTCACACGGACCCTAATAAACCTAAACTTAAACCTTACCCTCATCGTAATCCTAACCATAGCCCCAACCCTAAACCTAAAAGCAATTTTCAAAATTTGGCAAAAGAAAATATCCAAGATGGAGGACTTCCGGTTTGTAAAGGGGCGTGGTCACAATATACATTTTTGTTCTTATTGCCATGATGCATGTGGATACCAAATTTGGTTTGGCTACACCAACGTTTGTGTAAGGACGTCCCATTGGCAAGGATACAATTTTGGCTTGTTGCCATGGCAACACAATGGAAACGGGGTGTGAGCATCATTGAGTTTTTTAATCGAGACCATGTCACAAATGTGGATGCCAAATGCTGTATATCTGTGACAAATAAAACCTTATTTTTACATACAAATTTTCTAGGGGGCGCTATTGCACCCAGTTTTGTATTTTCTTACATCAATGAGTTCAAGGTCGGGGTGTGAACCCACGGTTAAAATATGAGTGAAATTGGCCAAAGTTTGTGCAAATTATCAGGCGTCGAAGTTTGATGGTCACACTGTTTGATCTTTTAAAAAAGCTTTTAACAACTTTTAATGTCGCACTTGTTTAGATGATACAGAATGATTCTGTCTGGGTCAAACGCCCAAGGACGAGTTCGTTCAAATATGAGGACAGGAAATTGTGCCCTAGTCACCAGGTCGCACCATCAAACCAATATGGCCGACTTCCTGTTGGTTGCCTAGCAACCACGTAATATACTTTTTTGTTCCTATTCCCATGATGCATCTGTGTACCAAATTTGGTTTGGCTACACCAAAGTTTTTGTCGGGCCTATTGGCAAGGGCAGATGTTTAGCCTGTCACCATGGCAACACGATGGGAAATGGCATGGGGTCGTCATTGACTTTTTTGATCAAGACCATGTCATGAATCTATGTACCAAGTTTTATATGTCTACGACAAAGTAAATTTTGGCACTACCATGCAACTTCCCTAGGGGGCGCTATTGCGCCCATCTGAGATTTTCTTATATAAATGTGTTCAGGGTCGGGGTGTGAACCCGCGATTAAAATTTGAGTGAAATCAGCCAAAGTTTGTGCTAGAATTTGTAGATTTTATCAATGGAGAGTTTATGCCATCGCTATGGCAACGCCATAAAAAATATGACATGGGTGTCACAGACTTTTGGATCAGGATGCCAAAATGGAATTTTGTGCAAAATTTCAGAAATTTTTGAGCAACTATTTGGGAACAAATGATTTTCTTCCATATTAAATTTTGTTTCAATCTATAGGGGGCGCTAATGCACCAAATTCATAATTTTCACATGAAGTCGCTTCAGGGCAGAGAGTTTAACAAATGTTTCAAATTTCATTGAAATCAGAGTTCGTTTGAGCAAATGGGAGCAATTTGTAAATCTCCTAAATTGTGTGCATTTTTTGTTGCTTCACTGTTCAGAGATCGTAACACGTGTGTGAAAAATGTGGATAAGTTTTGATGTTCCACGATGAAGATGCGAGAACAATGTTCCGCTTTTTTTTGGCCGACAAACTATACATTTTCGGAAACCTCAGGCGCATTGCTACGTGATGGTGAGGGTCCCTGGTCACTACGGGCGAGTCACGTCGCGCCATTTCATTTTTCGGTCACTTGGAGCATCGCTGTGTGAAACTAATAGACCCTTCACCAGCCTCTGGCGCTCGGGCCTAATAAAAAAAAAAAAAAAAAATAATAATAATAGTTTTTAAATATATTTTAACATTATTATTTCACATTATTTTAATAGTTTTCTGGGGCGCAGTGCCGCTGTGCTCCGGCAGGGGGCAGTCCTGAGCTCACAACAGTGTCGCGGGTCAGTGACGTAAAAAAACGGCGCCCTCTGTTTTAGCATTAGCATTAGCATTAGCTCGAGCCGCAGTTTGTGGATTTATTTGTTTGTTTATTTGTTTATTTGTGTTTTTTTGTGGTTTTTCTGTTTTTGTGTTTTTCGTCCAAACCCGCGGCCGGAGCCATGACCCCCCCGGAGCCGGTGAGTCTGAGCCCGGAGCCGTAAACCCGCAGCTTCAGCTTCATTTGTGGAGGTTTAGTTTGGATCAAACTCGCTCCTTTTTCTGTTTTTGTTTTTGTTTGTTTTTTTGTCCTCGCGCTTCAAACGGGACCGTGCACGTGCGCGGGACAAACGAACCTCAAAAACTAAAACATCAAATAAATTCAGCAGGAAAAAGACTCCGAATAATCTAAGTCTAAACCGGAGACATCGGTCCTCCCTGTGTCCCCGTGTCCCTCTGTCCATGTGTGTCCCTCTGTCCCTCTGTCCATGTGTGTCCCCTCTGTCCATGTGTCCATGTGTGTCCCTCTGTCCATGTGTGTCCCTCTGTCCATGTGTGTCCCTCTGTCGTCCATGTGTGTCCCTCTGTCCATGTCCTGTGTGTCCTCTGTCTGTCTGTGTGTCACCCTCTGTGTCTGTCCTGTGTGTCCCTGTGTCTCCCGTGTCCCTCTGTCTCTGTGTGTCCCTCTGTCCTCTGTCCATGTGTGTCCCTCTGTCCATGTGTGTCCCTCTGTGTCCCTCTGTCCATGTGTGTCCCCTCTGTGTGTCTGTCCTGTGTCCTCTGTCTCTGTGTGTGTCCCTCTGTCCATGTGTGTCCCTCTGTCCATGTGTGTCCCTCTGTCCTGTGTGTCCCTCTGTCCATGTGTGTCCCTCTGTCCATGTGTGTCCCTCTGTCTCATGTGTGTCCCTCTGTCTCTGTGTGTCCCTCTGTCCCTGTGTGTCCCTCTGTCCATGTGTGTCCCTCTGTCCATGTGTCCCTCTGTCCATGTGTGCCTCTGTCCATGTGTGTCCCTCTGTCCATGTGTGTCCCTCTGTCTCTGTGTGTCCCTCTGTCCTGTGTGTCCCTCTGTCTCTGTGTGTCTGTCCTGTGTGTCCCTCTGTCTCTGTGTGTCCCTCTGTCCATGTGTGTCCTGTGTGTCCCTCTGTCCATGTGTGTCCCTCTGTCTCTGTGTGTCCTCTGTCCATGTGTGTCTGTCCATGTGTGTCCCTCTGTCTCTGTGTGTCCCTCTGTCCATGTGTGTCCCTCTGTCCATGTGTGTCCCTCTGTCCATGTGTGTCTGTCTCTGTGTGTCCCTCTGTCCTGTGTGTCCCTCTGTCCATGTGTGTCCCTCTGTCTCTGTGTGTCCCTCTGTCCATGTGTGTCCCTCTGTCCATGTGTGTCCCTCTGTCCTGTGTCCCTCTGTCCATGTGTGTCCTGTCTCTCTGTGTCCCTGTGTCCCTCTGTCCATGTGTGTCCCTCTGTCCCTGTGTCCCTCTGTCCATGTGTCTCCCCGTGTCTCTGTCTCTTTGTCCCCGTGTCTTTGTTTTGGACAAATCTGATGGTGCAACAGTAAAGAAACAGACGTGACGTTTGTTTGGGTCAAAAACAGAAAAACTCAAACTGTGTGTGTGTGTGTGTGTGTTGTGTGTGTTGTGTGTGTTGTGTGTGTGGTGTGTGTGTGTTGTGTGTGTGTGTGTGTGTGTGTGTGTGTGTGTTGTGTGTGTGTGTGGTGTGTGTGTGTGTGTGTGTTGTGTGTGTGTGTGTGTGTGTGTGTGTGTGTGTGTGTTGTGTGTGTGTGTGTGTGTGTGTGTGTGTGTGTGTGTGTGTGTGTGTTGTGTTGTGTGTGTGTTGTGTGTGTGTGTGTGTGTGTGTGTGTGTGTGTGTTGTGTGTGTGTGTGTGTGTGTGTGTGTGTGTTGTGGTGTGTCTGTTGTGTCTGTTGTGTGTGTTGTGTGTGTGTTGTGTGTGTTGTGTGTCTGTTGTGTGTGTGTTGTGTGTGTGTTGTGTGTGGTGTGTCTGTTGTGTCTGTTGTGTGTGTTGTGTGTGTGTTGTGTGTCTGTTGTGTGTCTGTTGTGTGTGTGTTGTGTGTCGTGTGTGTGTTGTGTCTGTTGTGTCTGTTGTGTGTGTTGTGTGTTGTGTGTCTGTTGTGAGTCTCGTTTGTTTGTTCAACATGTTTATTTAGTTTCTCAAACTGACGATTTCCCAGATTTTAATGTGAAACTCTGGTCACTCTGGTCACTCTGGTCACTCTGGTCACTCTGATCTACTCATCTGTGTGTGTGCGTGTTGTATATGTGTGTGTGTTTGTGTATGTATGTGCGTGTTTGTGTATTTGTGTGTGTGTTTGTGTATTTGTGCGTCTGAATCGTCCCAAACCCGCAGGTGTTTTGTTTTTCAGGAGGAGGCGGAGTCTGTCCTGTGACGTCACTGTGATGTCATCGTGACGCAGTGACGTCGTAGCGGGAGCGGCGACGCGGTGACGTCATAGCGTGAAGATGGAGTCGTGGACGCCGAACCCTCGAGCCAAACCCTTCGTCCCCCGAACGCAGCGCAGCCTCTACCTCAGCTGGAAATACAGACTGACCAACCGCCGGGCGCTGCGCCGCACCTGCCAGGTACTCACCCTGCACCTGTCCACCTGTACGACCCTGCACCTGTCCACCTGTACGACCCTGCACCTGTCCACCTGTACGACCCTGCACCTGTCCACCTGTACGACCCTGCACCTGTCCACCTGTACGACCCTGCACCTGTCCATCTGTCCTCTGTGGGACGACCCGCTCCCTCATCAGTGTGCATATATTTGTGTGTAAATGTTGTGTTGTGTGTATAGTTGTGTGTACAGTTCTGTTGTGTGTATATTTGTGTGTAATTGTTGTGTTGTGTGTAATGTTGTGTTGTGTGTATAGTTCTGTTGTGTGTATATTTGTGTGTAATTGTTGTGTTGTGCGTTTCAGGCCGGGGCCGTCCTGTTTCTCGTCGTCACCGTCATCGTGAACATCAAACTCATTTTAGACACGAGACGAGCGGCCGAAGAAGAACAGGCCCCCGACTACGGTAAGACCTGATTTAGACCTGATTTAGACCGATTTAGACCTGATTTAGACCTGATTTAGACCTGATTTAGACCTGATTTAGACCTGATTTAGACCTGATTCAGACCCGCTTTAGACCTGATTTAGACCTGATTTAGACCCGCTTTAGACCTGATTTAGACCCGATTCAGACCCGCTTTAGACCCGATTCAGACCTGATTTAGACCTGATTCAGACCCGCTTTAGACCTGATTTAGACCTGCTTTAGACCTGCTTTAGACCTGCTTTAGACCTGCTTTAGACCTGCTTTAGACCTGATTCAGACCCACTTTAGACCTGCTTTAGATCCGCTCTAGACCCGATTTAGACCCGCTTTAGACCTGATTTAGACCCGCTTTAGACCTGATTTAGACCTGATTTAGACCCCCTTTAGACCTGATTCAGACCCGCTTTAGACCCGCTTTAGACCTGGTTTAGACCTGATTCAGACCCGCTTTAGACCTGCTTTAGACCTGATTCAGACCCGCTTTAGACCTGCTTTAGACCTGATTTAGACTTGATCCTGGTCCTGATCCCGGTCCTGGTCCTGGTCCCCAGTTTGAGTCCTGGTTCTGGTTGTGTTCCTCAGAGGAGCCTGGAGGTCCTCAGACTCCTCGCAGACCCGTCCACGGGAGACGAGTCCTGGACATCGAGGTTTACTCCAGTCGGTCCAAAGTTTATGTGGCGGTGGACGGCACCACGGTCAGTGCACCTGTCGCACCTGTCACACCTGTCCATCTCACCTGTCACACCTGTCCATTTCACCTGTCACACCTGTTCATTTCACCTGTCACACCTGTCAATTTCACCTGTCGCACCTGTCACACCTGTCCATCTCACCTGTCACACCTGTTCATTTCACCTGTCACACCTGTTGCTCATACCTGTTCTCTATGTAACTGTATGTGTGTTGTGTAACTGTTGTTGTGCGTCAGGTTGTGTGTGTGTTGTGTAACTGTTGTGCGTCAGGTTGTGTGTGTGTGTTGTGTAACTGTTGTGCGTCAGGTTGTGTGTGTGTGTTGTGTAACTGTTGTTGTGCGTCAGGTTGTGTGTGTGTGTTGTGTAACTGTTGTTGTGCGTCAGGTTGTGTGTGTGTTGTGTAACTGTTGTTGTGCGTCAGGTTGTGTGTGTGTGTTGTGTAACTGTTGTTGTGCGTCAGGTTATGTGTGTGTGTTGTGTAACTGTTGTGCGTCAGGTTATGTGTGTGTGTTGTGTAACTGTTGTGCGTCAGGTTGTGTGTGTACATGTGTGTTGTTGTGTAACTGTTGTTGTGCGTCAGGTTGTGTGTGTGTTGTGTAACTGTTGTGCGTCAGGTTGTGTGTGTGTGTTGTGTAACTGTTGTTGTGCGTCAGGTTGTGTGTGTGTATATGTGTGTGTTGTGTAACTGTTGTGCGTCAGGTTGTGTGTGTGTGTTGTGTAACTGTTGTTGTGCGTCAGGTTGTGTGTGTGTGTGTTGTGTAACTGTTGTTGTGCGTCAGGTTATGTGTGTGTGTTGTGTAACTGTTGTGCGTCAGGTTGTGTGTGTACATGTGTGTTGTTGTGTAACTGTTGTTGTGCGTCAGGTTGTGTGTGTGTGTTGTGTAACTGTTGTTGTGCGTCAGGTTGTGTGTGTGTATATGTGTGTGTTGTGTAACTGTTGTTGTGCGTCAGGTTGTGTGTGTGTGTTGTGTAACTGTTGTTGTGCGTCAGGTTGTGTGTGTATATGTGTGTGTTGTGTAACTGTTGTGCGTCAGGTTGTGTGTGTGTTGTGTAACTGTTGTTGTGCGTCAGGTTGTGTGTGTGTGTTGTGTAACTGTTGTTGTGCGTCAGTTGTGTGTGTGTGTTGTGTAACTGTTGTTGTGCGTCAGGTTGTGTGTGTTGTGTAACTGTTGTTGTGCGTCAGGTTGTGTGTGTGTGTTGTGTAACTGTTGTTGTGCGTCAGGTTGTGTGTGTGTTGTGTAACTGTTGTGCGTCAGGTTGTGTGTGTGTGTTGTGTAACTGTTGTTGTGCGTCAGGTTGTGTGTGTGTGTGTTGTGTAACTGTTGTTGTGCGTCAGGTTATGTGTGTGTGTTGTGTAACTGTTGTGCGTCAGGTTGTGTGTGTGTGTTGTGTAACTGTTGTTGTGCGTCAGGTTGTGTGTGTGTGTTGTGTAACTGTTGTGCGTCAGGTTGTGTGTGTGTATATGTGTGTGTTGTTTAACTGTTGTTGTGCGTCAGGTTGTGTGTGTGTTGTGTAACTGTTGTGCGTCAGGTTGTGTGTGTGTGTTGTGTAACTTGTTGTGCGTCAGGTTGTGTGTGTGTGTTGTGTAACTGTTGTTGTGCGTCAGGTTGTGTGTGTTGTGTAACTGTTGTTGTGCGTCAGGTTGTGTGTGTTGTGTAACTGTTGTTGTGCGTCAGGTTATGTGTGTGTTGTGTAACTGTTGTGCGTCAGGTTGTGTGTGTGTGTTGTGTAACTGTTGTTGTGCGTCAGTTGTGTGTTGTGTATATGTGTGTGTTTGTGTAACTGTTGTTGTGCGTCAGGTTGTGTTGTGTACTGTTGGTGTGTGTGTGTGTTGTGTAACTGTTGTGCGTCAGGTTGTGTGTGTGTTGTGTAACTGTTGTTGTGCGTCAGGTTGTGTGTGTGTGTTGTGTAACTGTTGTGCATCAGGTTGTGTGTGTGTTGTGTAACTGTTGTTGTGCGTCAGTTGTGTGTGTGTGTTGTGTAACTGTTGTTGTGCGTCAGGTTGTGTGTGTGTTGTGTAACTGTTGTTGTGCGTCAGGTTGTGTGTGTGTTGTGTAACTGTTGTTGTGCGTCAGGTTCTGTGTGTTGTGTAACTGTTGTTGTGCGTCAGGTTGTGTGTGTTGTGTTGTGTAACTGTTGTTGTGCGTCAGGTTGTGTGTGTTGTGTTGTGTAACTGTTGTTGTGCGTCAGGTTGTGTGTGTGTGTTGTGTAACTGTTGTTGTGCGTCAGGTTGTGTGTGTGTTGTGTAACTGTTGTTGTGTGTATATGTGTGTGTGTATCTGTGTTGTTGTGTAACTGTTATTGTGCGTCAGGTTCTGTGTGTTGTGTTGTGTAACTGTTGTTGTGCGTCAGGTTATGTGTGTATC